AAAGGAAAGTCATTCGCTTGAGTTTTTTCCGTCGTGAGTAATTAATCAATTAATATAGAAAAACGGGCCAAAGCTAAAGAGTAGTAGTAATAATACAAAACAAAATAATAATAAGTCCAGTGAAGTAAGTCAATGAGCATTAAGGGACTGAAATACACAGGAGCTAACACATCGATCATGTCATAGCATGCTTTTTATGCTAAAATTGAAATTAGATGAATTTAAACAAGTAAATTATAATTAAAAACAAAAAAACAAAAATATTAATGATCCTGCGATTATACAATTACTAGAGTCTAATTAAATACATCAAATAATTTACTATTATAAATATCGATCCATGTTCTTCGCTCCACGTCATTAACCTGCAGCATTCAGCAAACTCAAGCGCCTAGCAAATTAAAGATCAAGGACGTGTAGGTTGTCTCCCACTAGGAGGTTGGGGTGCAGGTCTTTGTTGATCTTTGTCGCGACCCCTTGCCTTATTGTTGCGTGGAGGAGGAGCAGGAGTCATGCTGTCGACAGTACTGACCCTGTAATATTGTTTGCTCACATTAGCTAGTAACTTACAAGCTGACTTAATAAACTCATCGTTATATAATTTAATGCGATTATTGGCATAATGAATCGAAGAAAATTAACACAGTTAATTACGCCACTTACAATATCATACGTTGAGAAGATGGGCTAAAGAGCAGCATTAAACATAATAAATGTAAGAAGAGCCATATTAGCTTCATGTCTACCTCTCTTGCTCTCTCTAATTACTTGAGAATGTGTAATTGTCTTGCTAGCTTCTGGATGTGAACCCTTTATATACATGCAGGAAGAATGAGAGATGCGTACAATATAATGGAGAAGATGGTCAGGACATTAGTTTGAACGGTGTGAAAACATGGATGTTTTGAAATAGACCAAGTGGGCAATGGCTCAACTAACCATGTTCTTCCTTAATATAATACCCTAGTCATGCCCATATGTTATCCTTTTGTTTTAGCTTTCGGTCATATTGGTCATGCCTCAATTGTTCAATTAGTTTGGCTGGGAAAATTAATTTACTGGCTTCAACGTGCTTCTCTCGTTTGGCTGCCTGGAATATAAGGTGTTGGGATGTACATAAGTATTTCTTAGAGTTAGGTCATGTACATAAGTATTTCATCTACGAGTAATACTAAACACTTAAAAAAGATATGATAAAAAAAAAAAAAAAAAAACCTTTAAGAATGTATATGAATTTTTGAATCATGATTTTAAAGTGGAATCCAATTGTAGGTTACACTAATCAAACGATGTAGATGTGTTCTTGGAGTTTTTTCTTATCTTATTTTCTTGTTTAGCATTATTTAATAGCTAATCCAATTAATTATTACCAATTTGTTATCCATGCTATGTTGCAAATCAGAGAGAATAACATTGTTTAAGTTTGATAGCTTGCACTATATTTCAAGTCTATTGAAATATATCGAATTTAAAAAAAAAAAAAAAAACAAGAAGACTAAATTTAACAACTTTTTAATTAAAATTTTATATTTAATTTATTCTTTCGTATTTTTTCATATATTTTGTATTTAAAAAAAACATGATATGTTATTCTTTATGTATTGATTCTTAAATAAAAACTTGCAATAATCTAAATAAAATTTTTATTCAAAAATTTTAAGAAATAGCTTAATAATTTTTCATAAAATTATATCAAGAAAATAAAGCTACAATTAATGTAAAAATTTGTATAAAAAATAACAAGTAAAAGAATATCTTTTACTCTTATTTAATGTTAATGAGAAGATTATTTTTTGAAAGTATATACATTTGATTTATATTTTTCCAATCACAAAATAGTAAATAATATTATTACAAAACATTGTATTTGAATCATTGGATGGTTCTTTAAAATTATTATTTTATTTATTTTATTTAAAATAAATTAATTTTAGAATATCCAAAAGAAAAAAATTAATAGCAAATATTTGGTGTTATGAGTAGATGCATAGCTAATTTTTAACAAAAATGATAAGTTAATTTTTTTAATACATCATGACTATATTTAGTGGACTTAGAGTGTGTAGTATAAAAAATAGAAAATAAAATAAAATATTTTACTTGCAAAAATTACATTGAATGAATTTGAAGTTAATAAATTGAAATAAAAACTATTATAAATTAATTTTGATAAACTTTAGGCACATAAAGAAGAAGCAAATAACGCATGTGAAGTTCATTTTTTAATTGATTATTTTAAAAACAAATTCTAAAAAATTGAGATAAAGTATTTGAAACATGTTTCAAGTCTTTAAATTGAATAATATATATCTACAATTACACACCTCTCATTTAAAAATAATAAGAATCTATCATATATAAATTATATTAATATATTTTCAAAAAATAGAAAAAATTATTATATTCTAAAATTTTATTTTAAAATCCACACATAGAGAAAAATAAATGAAATTTGTTAACAAATTGAATTATATAAAAAATAATAATAATAATTGCATGAGAATTTTCATAAAAATGACAAATCGAAGAAATCTTTTAAATTCTAAAAGCATATTATGTATATTTCTTCATCCCTAAAATGTATGGGAAAAAAAAGACTGTTTTTTTTTTCAAAAATTTGGCACAAAATTCAAGAAAAAAATGCCGAAAAACAAAAGCAAAGAAAGAAACGAAAAAAAAAAGAAAAAAAGAAAAGCTTGAACCATTGCTGCATGATGCAACCATAGTTAAAGCAAAAAATGGACGACACGTCGCTCGTAATGTGTGCTGTAGAAGACGCATTGGTCCCTTGCAACTTTCGACTAACTTGAGTTGGTTGAAAACTTCATTGACAAATCCAGATTTCTAGTTTTCGAGGTCCAAAATTTAATTTGCATATTATTTTTACTCCAAAATCTGTTAAAAATACTGAAGTAAAATTAAAAAAAAACTCATACATAGAAAAAAAAAATCAAATTCAAGCATTAAAAATATTTTTGAGTCTCAATCTATCTCTTCTAAATGTTCTATAATTTGAAGCTATCATAAACAAACTCTCATTCCTAAAATAAAGATATTAAAAGAAAGATCACAAGCCAAAATAGGTGAAATAGGAGTCATTATGAATTTCTCTTTCCTCTTTTTCAATCTCTTTGTTTATCTATCATCCCAACATTCAAGAATGAAATTGTGATATAGATAAAACTGATTGTCCGAAAAAAATAAATAAATAAAAAACATCAGGCACCAAACTATAATCTTTTTTAAAATTGGCGTATTATTACTTGAAGATTGCCTATAATTGCAACAAATGTCATTTTACGGTAAAGAAATAGTAATATTTCATATCTTTTAGCTTTTTTATCAAATGTTATAACATATCAATTGTATACATGTGCTTAATTCAGTTAGTATGATAGAGTGTTCATAAAAAGGGTTAGACCAAACATTTTTGTGTATGCTGTTAGAATTCGATATATTTGGGATTTGGATTTAGAGTTTCTCCAAATTGTAGTCCTTTTGATTGACAGTGAATTTCCTTCTTTCTTCGTCCATAAACGAAGACTTGATTAAACCATGCGCGCAAAAGTTAAAACTTCATGTTCATATGTACGTACTCTATTTCCTTTTAGTACATACGAAGTTTCTTAGATCCTAACGTTAGATAATAAGGAAAAAAAGACCTTTTTCAAGCCTGACAGTGCGTGGAGACTAGCTTTGAGAATAGGAAAACCGAGCTTATCTATGACTTCGAAATCAATTTTCAAACAACCAGAAGGTCGTACGCGTACTATTGGCAAAAAATTGTTTGAAAAAACAAAACCAGATATAGACTTCGATGAATTGAAAGAATCAAGAATTCACGTTCCAAAACATTTCCAACCAAAAAAAAAAAAAAAGAAGCTCATGAGCTTTCTATCAATAAATGCTAACAAAAGACTTTGTCAACCTTCTTATATAATTTGTCAATGAAGGCAACCAGCCTCAGGCCTAGTTGCTAATTTTTTTGATCCGTAATGCCTATAAACCCATGTGTTTAGTGTTAACGACAAAACTTGCTGCCAACTTCTGAGTTTGGTGTATAATCATAGTTAGATAATAAGTGATGGATATCCGTGTTAATGTAGTTGAGTTTCAGTGGGAGGGAAAAAAAGGTTAATAAGGATTTTTTTTATAGTTTTTCTTTATTTTTATTTTTTTTCATTATAAAATCTAAAGTGCATATTAAAGATAAGTATTAATATATACATAATGGTTTGGTGAAGTGTTTAGGGGGAAGAACTGGCCTGCCTCCTTTTCTCTCGCCCGTCTCTCTCTCTCTCTCTCTCTCTCTCCCCTTCCTTTCCTTCCTCAGAAAACCCAGGAGCCTCTTCCCTTCCTTCATCTCCTTCTGACCCAAAACCCCTTTGTCCAAAAGACCTTCCAATCCCCCTTTTTCTTCTCAAGCTGAAACCCTAAGTCAACCATCCGTTCCCCAAGCCTGAGATCTCCAATCAGCTCACTGAAACCTCAAATCTCTGTTCTTTCTTCTTCTCGTTTACCCCTCCGTATGACAGCCCTAGACTCCAACCTTTGTTATAATCTAAACCATTCAGAGCAACCCCCCCCCCCCGGTCTCTGAATCTCATTTCTCCTTTCAGATCGTTTGGAGTAAAATTTCGGTATTTAAAGTATGAAAACTAACAAGTGGAGATGAAGCCTTACCTGGGTAGTCGACTGCGGATACCAACAGGATGGGCAACTGGCAGCAGGGGGATAGCCTTCTGCTTTCTTCTCCCAACTGTTCTTCGTCCAAGCCCATAAAAATTTCCAGTTCTGTTAGTAATATTTGGCTTGTGCAAGCCACGTCATAATAGAGTTGGAGTCGGTTAGCAACTCTTCACTATAAAAATAATTACTCCTGTAATTTTAGGTTTAAGTTTTAGTCTTCAGCAACAGAAAAATAAGTATTCTTTAAGCCACAGCCGCTGCAGTAGAAGAAACCCCAACCATCCTCTTCCTTCACCAATCAACGAAAAAACATGGGATGCTGCTATATATCTCGTCTGCCAGACCACATCCTCATGACAATCTTCTGCAAAGTTCCAATCACCACTGTTGCAGAATGCAGATACGTTTGCAAGTCATGGATTGATATTCTCTCACACCCTATTTTTGCTAATACATTTAAACAATCCACCACCTCCACTGGGGCGACCTCCCTTGTGTTGTGTGTGAAAACTGATGACCTCTACTTTCTCGAATTCCCTCAAGGATCAGAGTCTCCTTTCTCCTTGAATCTTGTAGCAGAGTTTGTGAAGAGACCGCCGCCAGAAGCACTTGAACATAATCATCGTCTCAGGTTTGTCAATTCATGCAATGGCTTGGTTTGTGTACGTGAAGTAAATCCTCTTCGTGATTCTTTCATTCATATATTGAATCCTGTTACTAGGGAATACATTACTCTTCCGCCATTTGAAGAGGAAAGGGAAAGGCATATTGCAGTGGACTTATGTGGAATAGGGTTTAGTCCCAAGACTAACCAGTTTAAAGCTATTAGATTTTTTGCAGAGCTTAATGATTTGAGTTATGATTTGAATTGTGAGGTATACACGCTTGGCACTGGCACCTGGAGAAACATCGGGCTGGTACCGGAACTTGATATGGCCGATTGGATTTGTGCGGATTACTTTTCTTTTGAAGCATTTGTCAACGGATTCTTTCATTGGCTGATCTTAACACGTGATCATACTGAATACGATCGTTTTATTCCTTCTTTATGCACTTTCGATTTTGAAAGTGAGAAATTTGAAACAATGTGGATGCCGCCTCCTGAAATTGATGATGATACCTATCAATACCCCGGTCTTGGGGTCTTTAACAACTCTATTTATTTCGCTGGTTATGACTTCTGTCATGAGGAATCTTACCAGATATGGCTGATGAGAGAGTATGGTGTTGTCGAATCTTGGACCAAAATACTTGTCATAGAACTCGATTGGGCAAGAAAGTGCTTTCCTTATGACTTTTGTTTTATACTGGCAAAATTATTCGAAAATGGGGATCTTCTTCTATTGCATCAAGGAGATACATTTCTATATAATTCCAGAAGTAAAATTTTCACGAAGTTAGATGCTCCAGAGATAAAATCATCAATTCGAGCAATTGTTCACGAACCAAGTTTCGTCTCCCTCAAAGCTATTGTAAAGGATGACAGCTCGTGCGAGGTTAGGAAACTCAACTGCAGGGGGGCTAATTAAGAAAATATGCAAATGTGGGAATGAGTCATCAAGATATGCGTTTCTCCTTCTTGATACTAATTATTGTATCATAATCTACGTCGACCTTAGCTTTGAGAGATAATTTTGGTTCGTGTTGGATGATGTTCTAGTTATTTTTTTGCTGAAAATATTCAAGATCACTAAAATCTTCTAATATTATAATTCATTATTTAAAAAAAAACACTTTTGTTTTATTTTTTCAAAAAAATATATATATATATATATATATATATATATATATATAGAGAGAGAGAGAGAGAGAGAGAGAGAGAGAGAGAGAGAGAGAGAGTTGAGATTGGGTTCTATCAAAAGATTTAAGTCTTATAGTGGGTGATCCCTTTTAACTTTATATATTATTCATTATAAATTTAACTATTTAATGTGAAATTTGTGTTTTAACAATGGTTAAATATTTGCATTTACTAAAGCCTCGTTTGGCTGAAGGTGCTATCTAGTAAAACACTGTTTTTTCTTTCTTATATTCTCCTGCATTTTGAAAAACTAGTCAACCAATTAAATTCGGTTTTTAATCAAAAAGAAAAACTAATTTTTAAAGGGAAGAAAGTGTTCTAGGATTAAAAGAATGAAGAACACTTTTTAAAAATTACAATATAAATAATTTATCATAGGTTTTTTTATAAAATTATTTTATTTATTTATTGGCCACCAATACAAAAATAAAGGATTATTATGGCTTATAACTTTCTTTTGTATTGGAATTTTTCTTTAAATTCCTTCTCCTGTAACGGAGTTTTTCTTTAAACTCAAATATTGTAAAGGGATGATTACTATGGCTTATAACCTGCTCTTATAATAGAGTTTTTTTTTAAACTCAAATATTGTAAAAAGAGAATTTGAACTTATGGTTTTTTATAAATATAAAAAAATTTATATTACTATTACTAAACCAGAAGTTTATCGGCTAAATGATGGATTTTTCAATTTAAATTGTTAAACAAATAGTTAGAGCTCGAATTTTGGATTTTGATTATACTATTCTCATTATTTAATCTAAGAATTATCAAATCTTCAAACGAACTACTTATAAAGAATAGGGGAAAAAAATAAAACACCATCAAATGGAAAAAAAATACTTTTTTTAATTTAATTTTTTTTTTTTTTAAGTACAAAAAGTTGTACATGACCAATGACATTGGTATCTGAGGTTTAGGCCTAGCCAGCTTAACCTAGCTAGAAGATTACTAAGCCCCCACTGAGCCTGGTTGGTTGCCATTTTTTGGCAAAATACGTTGACAAATCTTCAAAGTCCAGTCCAATGAAGTTCGGAAAATGCTAGAGCGCAAATGCAGTCTTTTAGATTCCAAATTGGATTTTTTTTTTTTTTTTAATGGAACCCCACAAATGGGGTATCGGTTCTTTCAAATTTATCAAATTCTAGATCATGATTGAGTTGTTATTTTTTATTTTTTTATTTTCAAAGAATTATATGCCAATTGTTTGCATTGATTTGCTAGCTAATGAAAGTTTTGACCTCATAAATAAGGTAGGTTTCGTCTCTCAAATTAAGCGTTTCCAATATTATATCTCCCTTATTAATCATGGATTGGTCACCACTTCAATCATAATTGAAAAGGTCCTCCCTTTTATTTTCCCTCATATTTAAGGCAATATAAAATATTATTTGATAACTAATTATCTTATTATGCTTATAAATATTAAAGCAATTAAATAATGTTAGGTTAAAAATTCTTTTGTTGTTCCTTTGAAATATATAATGATTAATAATGGTTGTAACCTATTAAAAGTATTTCAATAAATATATTTCATTTGTATTAAATGATTTATAATTTTTAAAATTTACACGTTTGTGTGCGTGTTTTTTTTTATTTTATTAATGTAATATTTATGTCCAAAAAACAAAAAATTAAATAGGGTGATAAAAAATATATGTGTGTTCGAGTATTATCATTTTAATGAAATATTTCAACATGATCAATTATATATATATATATATAATTTGAAATCGAGTTAGTAGAACGATAGTATCTTGATATGTATATAATCTTTTAAAAAATTAATGGAGAAAATATATTAGTTGTGATTTTTATTAAAAGTAAAGGTTCCCGCTTTATTTAAAAGCAAAATGAAATTTTTTTTACCTTATCACGAAGCAACAGAGTACCATATATAAGCTTAATTCTCGGTATGAAACGATGGCGTCCAAGTTGATTTGGTCGACATAGATGTCCAAGTTGTCTATAGATTCATCCACCGTTAGACTCCACCGAGTCCCAAAAGAAGGATAGAGGATTAGACGATTAGGATGACAATCGAAAGTAACAATTTATTTTTTTAATTTATGTTTTTCTTTCATATGTATTATCGAATCTTTTTTGTTAATATTAATTTATATTTAATTTATAATATTTAAATTTTAATGATAGGTTGTTTCTTCTAATTGTTAATTACTATCCATAATATCATTAATTTAAACAAACAAACAAAATTTAAAAATTTTAAATTATTTTTTAAAAAATATATTAATCACGGAATAGCAACAAATTGCCGATGAATTTCCATGCCGATGGTGAAGGAGTTGTGATGAATTTTTTCGATATTTAGTGATAGCATAGCAACGGTCTAGCAACATATGGCATTAGCTTCGGATATTAGCGATGGCATATTAGTCGTTAAACAACAACGACACTAGTGATGGAATAGCAATGCCTAATACGACGGTTTGCGGTGACCAATTTAGCGATGGACATTGTCCTTTTTACAATGGAAATTTCGTCACAATGTTAGCGATGGAATGTTTTTCATCGTTGCTAAGGTTAGCGATGAAAATAATTTTTGTTGCTATGCCATTGATAAGTGACTTTAGCGACTGATTTTGGCTAATTAATGACGAAAAAATCCATTAATAATTGTCACTTTTCTTGTAGTGATCGAGTTTTGGCCCCACTTGCTTCTTAACCTAAGGCATCACACAAAAATTTGAGCATCTTTAGATAGAGAAATTTTATATTACTTCAGAATTAACTGGAGAAATTTTATATTACTTCAAAAGTAACAATTAATACTTACGTCATAAGAAAAAGATAGACACAAAAAGGAGAAAGAAATAAAAAAGAGAATATTAAAAAAAATTACCCTAAGTTAAAATCTTTTTATCAATTTTGATAGGTTCAAATATGATTTTTTTTTCTCTTTTAAAAAGTAGACTTGTAAAATAACTATTGTATACTTCTTGATTATTTTAAAATTTCTCTTCATAGATGAGCTACACGTGAGTCACCTAAGCTTCAACAAAAATAATCATGTCATTTATAAAGTACAGATATCAGAGAGAAGGGCCATTTCTACCAATTTGAAAAGGAATCCATTGCTTGATTTCCACCATACACCGAATTAGCTTAGAAAGATGATCCAAATAAAAGACAAAAATACGAAGGGACATAGGATCTACTTGATGAATAACCCTGAAAAGAATAAATTTATTTGTAGGTTCTCCAATCCAAAGGATTCGCATACGAGCTGACTGAATACAACTCATATTGACATCAATAAAAAAAGCTAGAAAAACCAACATCAGCTAAAGTATCATCAATAATTTTAGAGTGTAATATAAAATAATTCATGGAGTCTTATTCAATAGCTTAAGTTTTAGTATGAAAATATTTTTTAATATAATATCGAACCTTGATAACCAAACGGTCACGAAACCTTTTACCTAAAAGTATGTTTTAGAGAGTAAAATAAAATCATTCTTAAAACATCATTTAACGAGTTTAAATTTTTAGATTGAGATATTTTTTTTTATAAATTCCAACTTAACTTAGCATATTACTAAATATACTAAAGAGTTGGAAATTCATTGTTCCAGTATACTCGTTTACGCATTGTTCGCTATCTCTCGCTTTCACTATTCATTTATTGTTTATTGTGTCTAAAACCACTATTCATTTACCGTGCACTTACACTATTTTCTTAAAAATATGCACTTTGGTCCCTCTTTTTTAAATATTTTTTTATCTATAATTTTATTTTTTGTTCATTTTGGTCCCTAAATGCCAAGAGGGGAGATAAACAAGGGGGAGAGAGAGAGAGAGAGGGATGCTAAGGCCCATTCGGCCACCTTGACGACTAGTTTACCACCAATTTGTTTGTCTCGAAGAGTAGAATCTGTTTATGATAGTAGCAAACGATGAAATGGTTGAAGGAGGTATATCGGGATCCAAATTTATTTTGAGTTTTTTATTTTGATTTGAATTTTTGTGTGTTTTATATCCATTAAAATAGATTTTCAAGAATTAAACAATTTTTTAGTTATTTATATGATTTTGAGGTGTTTTGGACAAAAACGAAGGAGAATTTGGTTTTACGAGATCGAAATTTAAGAAACTTAACATTTCAATGACTTTCAATGAATCAAATTCGTAGAAAATTATAGCAATCACCGTAAATTAACAACAATCAAATTTATTTCTACCAAGGCCCAAATGCATAGGCGATGTCCTCCAAGCCTAGATGCGTAGGCATGGTCCTTGGTATTTTATCTTTTCTTTTCTCTATATTTTTTAATTAACAATATTTAGGAAAACATTATGGAACATCAAACATTATTATTTGCATTTTTCACCTAATATAGCAATGATAACACACACACTATCTTTTTATATTTTAAAATTAACATATATTTCAGATTATATTGCTCTTACTATTTAAAATTTATTAATTGAATTTGTCATTTCTTATGAATATTCTCATCTAATTAATTTTTTTTGTATACAAAATTTTATTGAGTAATAACTTTGATTTTTTTCCTCTAAATTTGAATTTTAGAATAAAATTTTAAAGCATAGTTGCTTTTTTTCTTTTTTAAAAAATAAATTGATATAATATATATCATAAATTCTTATAAATTTTAAATAATAGTTGAATATATATAAATATATAATTATTTTAATCTAAAAAGTTAAAAGTATATTTTAAATAATTTATTTCGATCTAGTAGA